TGCCTGATTAATTTTAATTGATGTACATGTTTGATCATAAAAGAACATCAATTATTGAATTAGTTCATTTCATCTTTAAAGCAGTTCTGCAGAAAACAGTGATGTCATCGTCCAGCTCTGTTCAGTTCATATACAGCAGTGTCAGTAGAGTCAGATCAATAATATTGTTAAATATTAAAGGGGTGGTATAATGCCCCATTTTACAATATGTAAAATAAGTCTCTGTTGTCGCCAGAGTGTGTATGTGAGTTTAAGCTCAAAATACCCCACAGATATTTTTACATAGCATGTTAAAGTTTACACTTTTTGAGGGTCAGTAAAAATGTGTCATTTCTTGTGTGGCAGAGAGGCACAGAGGGCGGGGCTTCAACTGTGTGTGTGTGTGTGTGTGTGTGTGTGTGTTAGCAGCTCCAATTACCTCACACAGACATGCACTAAAATGTCAGAAACTGTTCTGCCTTTTATGTTTAAAGTCGGACAATGATGGAGAGACTCAATGATGACAACATGTAGAATGCAACAGGATGTTTCTGAATGGTTAGTTGATGAATATATGTTGCTGATGTGGAGTTAACTATCTTCAAGTCATTGATTAGCATATTCTGTCATGATAATCTTATAAATCGCTTGTGTGGGAACTATTGTAAGATGCACACAGTGACATGATATTGCATTTGTGTTACGTACTGTATTGCATGTGAGAAGACGGATGCGGCAGCTTGAGCAGAGACTAATGTGCTCTTCTACAACAACTCTTCCTCTTCTCAACATGGACTGCGTGTTCAGGGGGCGGGGTTTATGTAAATTTGAGTTGGTGATGTCACTAACCCGTGAGGAATGTCCTGTAGTTCCTACCAGCCGTTTGTTGTAGTCCTTAAAAAATGATTTCTTTAAAAGCAAATATCTCCCTTTGCTTTGAACTTTGAGCGTTGTAACTTTGCAGATGTTGTTTATGCGCAAACAGCAACATTACACACTAGCTAAAGTTAGAAAAGTGAAATCATAATCAACCAGCCCTTTAAGTGTCCTCAACTAAGCAAACCAAATATGCTTATAAAATCATTTTAACACATTTTTAATAACATTTAAATAGTGTCAGTATTCCTTGGCCTTGATTATATTAAATATATAATCACTGGATTAAACAAAACGTCTGCTGGCTCTCAAATCGAAAAAACTGAATTAGCCTACACACATATAAAGCCAACAATTGTCCAAAAGCTTGTCCTCCGTGTTCGTCCTGCTCTGATCCTCTGTAATGTCAGTCACATACGAACACTTCTCTCTTCTTCAACACAATGCAGGGCACAACACTGGAGTCGCCATAAAGAGAGTTTGTGTTCTGTCATCATTCAGGCTCAGGAAGGTTTTATGAGGTGCTTCATTTTCAAAGAAACACGTCTTTCTCTCTCTATGGCTTTTAGAGAAGCCCGGATCCACTCTTTACGGCCCAAAGCGCTCCAGACGTCTCTTAGATTAAAGCAGAGTGATCCAAACAGCTTGCTAGCACTTTCCTCTCACACGGCAATGATTTGCAAACTGATTACCTCACACTGTAGGACCAAACAGCCTCGGAGAGCAACGGCTTATCATTGCTTTTCTTTTCTCGTCTCAGAGAGGTGTATAACGAAGATGGAGAAAGAAGAGACAAGTGCCGGGGAATAAAAAAGATGAGGAAATTATTATGGGAACACGCAGAAGGAGAGATTCAATAGGCCACAGATGAGGACTTCAGACAGGAGAGAGTAGGCCGAAGAAATGGATCATATCCAGAAATTGATAACAGCGTGCCGAGTGCGTAACAGCCGAGTGAATAAAAAAGGGAATGAAGTAAATAAAAGCACTGAGGTCTCGTAATGCGGATAATGTGTATATTCACGAGGTGACTGGGCCGGCGTGCACGGATAGGGATAGGAATAGAGAACTGATTTTATTTAGTAAAAATACGGGAATGATTTGCGTGCTGGACAGTTGTGTTAACATTTGCATTTTGACACTAACGTGGAAATCCTCAATAAGAATATATACAACCTACTGAATCTGACGGACAATTCAAACAACTTCCAGTTTGTTACAAATGAATTTATTAGGATTAACCCCGTGAGAGGAGTCATCTCGTTTTGGAGTGGGTCGCAGTATAACAGTCACTAAAACGCAACAAAAACAAAATACAAATTAACAATACATCAACAACACTGTAAAAAAGGATATGATCAATAAGTTATGACAACATATGTTTTTACATTGCTATAACTCATTAAAATAATTTATGCAATTTTCAACTTTTTTTTATAAGATATACAAGATTCAACTCATTTTTTTCTCAAGTTAAGTCGGTTTAATGTAATTTAAGTTGAAACAACCTAATCCTTCAAGTTGATTATACTTAAAAATTTAAGGCAGCATATTTTTTTTTTACAGTGAAACCAAACAACAAAACACAAACATTGATTGAAAAATAACACCACACAGTTGAAATATAATAACAAATAATAAATAATAAATAAAAATAATATACTACAGTTTCTCAAGGTAATTCCCTGAATACTTACAATACAATAATACTTCCCTAAAGTATGCTGACGCTGTCCCGTCAAGAAGCAACTATACCTGGATCACACGAGCACACGTCTTCAGCATCTACAGTCAAACCAACATTTATTCAGACACCTTCAACATTTCTCACATTATCACAGTTTATTCGCTATTGTTTAGAAAATGGCAAAATATGATAAGAGAGTTCTCAGATCAGTGGATATTTGACTGGTTTTGTCCGTCCTTCTGTTAGACTCTCACACATGAATTATGTTGAATATCAGTCAGCTGTTAAATTTAACTACACAATTAGAGAATACCATTTCAGCTCAACCAGTGACCAAGCAATGCTTCATGTTGTTCAGTCTGTGTGTAAAAAAGGCATTAGCAACTTTTTACTGGTAGTCACTGTATGAATATTTTTTGGGTATAATATGTCACAGTTTACTTTATTTAGCTATCCTCACTCACATAAATTAACTATAGTGTCCTGCACCCAACAATATCAAAATGTATATCTGTCGTCTGAATCATTTTTGGTTTGACTGTGTGCTCTCGCCGTCCTGCATGTGTACGCTGGTCCGACACAGGGTTATTAACACTAACTCACCTGAGGACGGATCTATAGTCTGCCAACACCATCACTGTCTCTGCGGGGGTCTTGCGGGAGTGTAGAATATTTAATACTTTATTCCTCAGCTTATGTCAGCAAATACTGTACCTGATACGACTCCCAAGTTGCTCTTTGTAGAAATGAAGTTTTATTCACAGCTGGGAGATCACTGGCCACAACAACCAAGTGAGTCTCCTGAACAAAAGATACATCTTACAGTTGAGTAAAAATCAATCAAGTCGGCATCTCTGTGATTAGTTTAAAAATGATCTAAGCTAATCACATGACTGTTAGTACTGTGTTAAGCACCCTTTTAAGTCTGCATGGTCTTTGACCTGAGCATACTTAGTCTGCTGCATTTTTCTGTATAATTCATGATGAAAATACCCTTTTTACCATTTCTGAGGCCATTACATAAAATATTTCTATCACAGAACACTGCGGTAAAATTCAACTGTTGCCATGACGATCAGAACACGCCTGTTTCCTTACAGCATAAACTTCAATTTGAATTACAATTCATAAAGTTCCATTTAGATTCATTTTAACTTTAAAATGCATTCTCTTAAAAATGTCTTGTGCTGCATTTATTTGATCAAAAATATAGTAAAAACACAAATGATTGGTTATAATAACTGTTTCCTAGTCCTATGGATATTAATATTTAATAATATAATATTAGTATATTATGTATTTAGTGTTTGTTTACCACACACACACTATATATATATACTTTTTAATGTTTTTGAAGGAGTCTCAACACCAAGGCTGCATTTACAAACACCAAGGCTGCATTTATTTGATCAAAAATGCAGTAAAAACTGAAATATTGTTACAATTTCAAATAGCTGTTTGAATATATTTTATAATGTCATTTATTCCTGTGATCAAAGCTGAATTTTCAGCATCATTACTCCAGTTTTCAGTGTCACGTGATCCTTCAGAAATCACTCTAATATGAGGATCTGATGCTCAAGACACGTTTCTGGTTATCAATGTTAAACATGTATATTTTTCAGGATTCTTTAATGAATAAAAATCTCAAAAGAACAGCATTTATTTGATAAAGAATTTTTTTGTAACAATTATAAATGTCTTTACTCTCACTTTTGATTAACGTGTCCTTGCTGAATAAAAGTATAATTTTTTTATTCTTAAAAAAAATTCTCATTATGTTTAATAAGTGAGTGATTTTCAGGGCCATGATGAAAGAATTGAACACAATTTCAGAATTGAACAAAAAAAAGTTATAACGTCAGACCTACAGATTATAGGGGCGTGAAAGCAGTTTATGATCCAAACGCTCTTCCTCAAAATGACTAAAACACAGTGAATCACAATCGAGTTCCTTTAGATTCCTCTATGCACAGTGTTTACCCGCCGGTCGCTCTCGCTATAAGGTCCAGCCATGGTCCAGAGATCTCAGGTAATGTGAGCGATTACGGGCGCTCTGGGAAGCTCCCTGGTGAGGGATCGTTTCCTCGGCCTGTTTAGAAAAGCTGGCAGCTGTTTGAAAGATGGATGAAGCCTCTACACACACACACTGTCTGTCTCTGATCCACTGCCACACAAGGTCAGCCAGCCAAGAGACCCGAATCCGGAGGAAATCTGGACTCTTCTGTGTAAAGAAGACGCTTCATTTAATCTTGGATGGCTAATTTTGTCAGGGTTTGACCTGATTGTCCTTGATGCTGCATAAACACCCTGAAGAAAGTCATTTTTAAGAGAAATACTTGAACCAAACGGACACTGAAATACTGTGACTAGAACAACCACAGCGATGTCCTGGAGTAACGAGGCTAAATGAAATGGTTTGTCCTGAGTTATGAGCTTGCTGTGTGAATTGAACATGATGAGAGAGAAAGATGGGCACCTCAAAGTAATATACAGATAATAGATAACACTTATTGTATTGTATCACCCTTGCTTGAATGCCACAACAAACACAGAACATCAGTCCAATTAATACAATTTTCTACAATAAAATAATAACAATCTTCAACTAACAAGAAATATAAATTGAATTGGTTGCAAATTAATCACATACGTTAATATTTGTTCGTTAATATATATATATATATACACACACACACACACACACACACACACACACACACACACACACACACACACACACACACACACACATACATACATACATAGCCTATATATATATATATATATGTGTGTGTGTGTATATACATATATATATTCATTATATGTAATATATTAGTTCAAAAGTTTGGGGTCACTAAAGTGACAGTAAAGACATTTATAATGATACAAAAGATTTTATTTTTCAAATTGATAGTGTTCTTTGTTCATTTTCATTCATCAAAGGATCCTGTGAAAAAATGTATTACAGTTTCCTCAAAAATATGGAGAAACCACAACTGTTTTCATCATTAATAATAATCAGAAATGTTTCTTGAGCAGCAAATCATATTATAATGATTTCTGAAGGATCATGTGACACTGAAGCCTGGAGTAATGATGCTGAAAATTCAGCTTTGATCACAGGAATACATTACACTTTACTATATATTAACATAGAAAACAGTTCTTTTAAACTGTAATAATATTTCACAATTATTTAGTTTTTACTGCAATTTGACCAAATAAATGCAGCATTGGTGAGCAGTTTTTAGAGGCCTCTTTCTAGAGCATAAAAAAAAATTAAACTGTAATTGGTAATGCAACACTAGTGCTTTATATAGTTTGTGGTTGAAGCTGCCAGATGGTGTAGTTACAGTATCGGCCAGCAGGGGCTAACAGGGCAATGCTAACCATCCCTCCCTCCTTCTGCTCTCTTTCTTTATCTCCAGTCTCTCGTGTGTGAGGCCGTTCTCTCACTGGTGTGATGTGTGTCTCTGCGGATCAAACGCTTTAATTACGGAAAGCGTGTAGGAGACACTACAGGTAAGGCATGGATGAAGGTATCGCTGCCTTAACAAGACAGATACGCTCACAAGCCAATGCCGATGATGAGACAGGATCATTTGCATGGATATGTAATCATATGCACACCACAAACAAACCAGAGAACATTAGCTAAACACGAGCGTTCACAAATGAGCGACCGACATACTGTTACACGCTCGCACTGCTACGCCAATGTAAATGAGCTCTTTCGTGCACATACGCACGTACACAAACATCCATTTCCCGCCAAGCATTTCACCCTTATAAATTGCAGGCTTGTCACATCGAAACATTTTAAGTTCTGTCTTAAAGGAGGAAAAGATTATTTACTTCCAGAAATTACACAAGTGCCTGGTGGTCCGTGCCACCATTTACATAATCAGCATTATGTCACGTTGCGCGTGGAAAACATCAGGCAGAGGAGGGTTGGCAAACGCTCGCTTATTTGGATTTTGCATTGAGTCTGGAGGCTGTGCTGAACTCTTTTGGGAACTGCTGCAACCAGGGAAATGCTCTATCAAACACCACCGTAGACTATAATTTTCGATAGTTTTAGGCTTGATAATATTCCACATGAAGGTATTGTTTGCCCCTGTAGGGAAAGAATAAAACATATGTTTGATGCATGCAGTGATGGGAATAACGGCGTTATTACTAACGGCATTACTTTTTCCAGTAACGAGTAATCTAATTGATTACTCTTCTCATCTCAATAACGCCGTTCCCGTTACTGCCAAAAAATGCGGCACGTTACTATAACTGATGAAGCTGGGTTTTTTTTTTTCATCAGACCAACTAGATCTCTGAGCGAGAGGCAAATACTTTTTTACTGTTCTTCCTTGGTTAGTGGGCAGAGCACGAGACAAGCGCATAAATGCTGACGACTGAGGTAGAGTAAAATGTCATTGTAAGCCAATCAGAGGTAGAGTTGGGCGGGTGTTCGAAAGCACGCATAGTAGTAGGCATTCGGCACTTTTGACTCAGCTCACTGAAAAGAGCCGGCTCTTTTGGCTCACAAACGGCTCTTTAAATGACTTTGACTATAATATATATATATTTTTTTTACATAATTATTTAATTTCTATAGGCTAAATTTGTAAAAATAGAGTCGGCTCTTCAGATATGCGAGCCAGCTCCCGACGTTCACCTAAAAGAGCCGGCTCTTAGAGTCGCCTCATTCGCGAATCGCGAACGACCCATCAAAAGCTCATTCGCGAACGAGTCGATCCATCATCACTAACGGCTAACGCTCATGAATTGCGAACGACCCATCATAACGCATAGTCGGACAGGACACACAATGAACAACACAAGCAAGCCAGTCAGTCAACGAGAGACAGGTATGGCGACGAGCTTAACAAGCTTAATTTAATTTTGCCCACAGTTGTGGCCTGTTGAGGGGCAATAAATATCAAAAGTTCCAAAACATCTATTGTGTTATTTGCATTGATCCACTATATAAACATAATATCTACATGGCATTTGATTGGAGGCTAGTCTCACTTTGTCCCACAGCAACATTTTTTTTTTAGATGTGTGTACAATGTTTCATGTTTCTGTTAATAATGTATTGTATTAAGTGTCCATTTCATTATAATATTCAGATTTATCATAAATAATTGAACATGCACATGTATTGTAAGTTCCGTTAAAGAGGGGTAGAGGTGGGGTCACATTTGAGCATTTAAAATTTAATTTTACTTGAAAGTAACGCAATAGTTACTTTCTTAAGTAACTAGTTACTTTTAAAATTTGTAACTGAGTAACTAATTTAGTTACTTTTTGGAAGTAGTAACTAGTAACTGTAACTAATTACTTTTTAAAAGTAACTTGCCCAACACTGGATGCATGTACAAAACTACACCAGCAACGGCAAAATGAATATAAGAGAGAGGAAAATTGGAAGTGTTTAGTACAAATCAGAAAATGTGCAATGGTAAATCTGCATACATCTAGATATATGTAGTATAAATATAAAGTTTGTCAAATATGATGCTTAAGTGAAAAGAATGATTGTTTACACAGTTTGTAATTTGACATTAAATTGTTCACATTTAATGTCTGGGAAATGAATACAGACTCCAGATCAGTGTCTTGAAGATGCGAATAGGACATTTTTACACATAAATTCATGTATAAACAAAAGGTTTGGGGCAATAAAAAAAAAAAAAAAAATCTATAAAATTTGTGTTGTATATTATATTAATTATTTTATAAATAATAAATAATATATTTTTAAATATATACAATAATATTACAATTATATAGGCAATGTTGGCAAAGCAAGTATTATCTGAAATATACATAATGAAATATAATCCTGATTTGCAACTATAACAAATTATATGATCAATAAGTTGACAAAATATGTTTTACGGTGCTTTAACTCATCAAGTTCAGCAATTTAATTTTTTTTGTTAATTATACGAGATTCAACTATTTTTTTTAAAAGTCAGTTTAATGTAATTAAGTTTATTGTACTTAAAAAGTTAAGGCAGCAATTTTTTTATGGCAAAAGTGTGCCTAAGGAATATTAATAGGTTACATGAATGGAGGGTCTATCAAGGTTTTCTGGCAAAGTTAATAATTAATATTCACTGCTGAATTCCATATATTTCTAAAGTTTGATGTTTGTCTTTGTTTGGTTCACACTTCATGCTGCATGTCATGTCCGCTGGTATTGAGATGACTGCAAATGAAAATGCAATAAATGTTTTCCTGAGAGCAAATAATGAAACACCATCTCGCAAGAACAGAATTATCATCAATCAGGCATAAAGAACCAAAGAAGCCATCGAAGAAAGTGTGACAAATCCCGTGGAAACGAAAACATCCATGGGTTTTTGTTCGCTGCATGTTTTATCTCGCTCATTATTATGTCTTCTTTATTTCACTTTTCTGTTCTATCTCTCTTCTAATAGCAGCTAAAAAGATGCAGCTTTTTATCTGTAGGTTTCCAGCAGGCTGTAAAGTGATTTTATTTTTCATTGGAGGTGATTTTGCTCTTTGATTTTCATGGATCAATCGCTCAGAAGTCTTTTTTTCTGTCCTTTTCTCCAGTGGCAACTCAGCCCAGATGGGTGGGAGAGATAGATAGCCAGAGAAGATGTAAAATATGAGTTCAGAAAAATAAAAGCAAACAAAAAAATAGGGCGAGAGCGAGATGAGGAGAGGATCTGGGAGGAATAAGAAAGTGTGTGGAACAGATGGAGTTTGAGGCAGCAGTGATGTGGGGCAGAAGAATAAATATTTATGTCCTGTAATGTTTCTGCATGACAGATTCTATATAAAATTGAATGCAGTGCCACGTCTGAACCATGAGAAATGTGTTGGCGATACAACGAACGCTGCACCAATAAAGCACAGTTGTGATTTGAGCGAGAGTGAGGGAGAAATGGAGAGAAACGCAGAGAGGGAGGAAATAAAGAAGGGATGAGTGCAAATGTTTGTGATTTGTAAAAACATATACGGTGGGACATTGTTGAATTTTTATAGATGACATTGAGACATTTGACATAAATTAACACAGAAATAAGGAATGACACACACACTATTGCTTGCACAAAAATTGGGTAACACTTTATTTTACAGTGTCTTTGTTACACGTTACTATATAAATAATTAGAAATTGTTACATGCAACTAAACCAAGCTTAATCCTACCCTAACCCTATAGTAAGAAGTTAATTAATATTACTCCGTACTTAAATGTATAATTACACTGTAACAAGGACACCTTAAAACATAGTGTAACCAAAAATTTGAATACTGTATATTATGTTATATACATGGTCATACAAACATAGAATAGAACAATAGAAGCCATTCATTCATTGTGATGAGCTTGAATTTCTTCTATTTCATTCTAATAAAAATGTACCCAATATTTGGGTATGCTGTATTTTTATGCTTATACATCAGAATCAGCTGTCGGGCGT